TTAAATGTAACACTCGTATTTGAAAGCCTTTTTAATGTAACACCACATATGATGGACATATTTCCTGGTCAAAGTTCAGTTAAAGAATCCCATAATGCATCAGGGATCTCTCCTCCTGCTGTCAGCCGAGGGTCACACTGGACCTCAGTGGAGGAGGATGTTCCAGGGTCTGCTTCTAAAGGAGTTCAGCTGACTTCATTAACATTCAGCGGAGGAGCTGAGAGCGTCAGAGCAGCCCCCCGCTCCCATTACCCTTCTCCACTGTCAGAGAGGTCGTTACCGCTTTGTACAGCCTGCCATGCTGTTGCTCCTCTAATTCAGTTTTTGCCCAACTAAAGGAAATATGCAGATGTTCAAATGGCTCTATACTTAGAGCATTAACCATTTAACTTCACTCCTTTCAGACTGTGTTCAAAGAGAACACACATCTGTTTTGTAGCTTACACTCTTCTTCGTTACCATTTAAAAAATGTAGGATTAAGAGATTACGTTTAATACATGAGTTACTTTTAATATTGGCTTCTCAAAGAAATGCAGATTTGAATCATCTTTGAGTCAAAGCATTCACCTTAGATGTTATGCCCTGATTGACTTTATTCAAAGTCATTTTTGTGTTTATAAACCTGAGCAGCAGATACGATAACGGGGCTCTTTGATAGTTCAAACTTCAAAATACAGCTGCTTGTTATCCGTGTACTTTGGTCTTCATGTGTCTGTCGATTCTCATAACTGCACAATGCTACAAGCCCACAGAAATGATTTGGGGCTAAACTGAAACTAACTACTCAGCCGGACAGAGGCTAGCTTTGAAAAGATATTGAGACAGTCAGTTTATTAATATTAGTTGAATTCCCAGGCAGAAGACTACTGGTGTTTCACTGCAGTCCTTCGCGTGTGCCTTCTTCAAATATATTTTTGTTGTATACGAACGCCATGTTTTCTAGAAGTCACCACATACTTTCCAACTAAGGAGAGCCGTGTGTGTTAGCATTAGAAGTGTGTATCTCTCAATCTCTCTCACTGTTTTTCTGCTGCTCATTATCCAGACTCAGGCTGGACTTGCTCCAAGGTCAGAGCTGTGAGGCAATGGCCCAGATTTTCTATTCGCCAGCGCCCCTCCCTTTTCTTATCCTCTGTCAGCGCTTTCACAAGTTCACCCTGCAAGCTCAAGTTACGAGATTATAAAGAAACAGTCATGTTCTCGTGGTTGCATCGAAAGCCAGAGAGCGACTGACAGACAAAAGATTGAGTAGGTTTTCCAAGTATGATTTTTTTTAAACCATTAGTATTTCAGGGAAAGGGTGTGCCTGACTTTGTTCATGAGTCATGACTATGCCGCCTTCAGTCACTCAGTTTTACACATTCACATCTGAGAGCTTCTCTTTAAAGGTGCCCTGCTGTTTGCCCCTGAGCAGCTACACCTGAACACATGAGGTAAAAGTCTTTCATAAAGGACATAAGCCGCTTTCACACCAAGTACTTTGCCGTACTTAGTGCCGGCATTTTAGTGCCTGGCACTTAGTACCCCCATGGAACTATAAGTACAGATCGCGTTCACACCGGAATAAGTTCCCTGAGGGAAGATTACGCGAATGAAGCCGCTGACGTCACTTCTTCTTCTTCTTCTGCTTTGGGTTTACTGGCAGGCCGCAAACGGCGTATACTGCCACCCGATGTCCCCGGCCGGAAGTCCCCGGAGTTGGGGACTGGCTTCAGTAGAAGCTGCTGGGACTCCCAGCCTTCCGAGTAAATCGCCAGAACGCCGACACCTCCTCATCTCCACCGCTCCCATGTTTTATTTTGTGTTGCCATAAGTTATTCTCTCTCCGTTGGTGCGCGGGGCTAATGCTAATGCTAATAATGCTAATGCCAGCAAATACAATGGCGGCTTCACAAAACTTTTCAGAGTTGTACAGGGCGTGGTTTTCAATTCGCCCAGCCAATCGAAATTGGTACTTTTTTCTCCCCAGGATAGTACCACCTCTCTAGCAGGCACTAGAAATGGGGGTAAAAGTTCTCGGAACTGAGTTCTCTTTTTGGTGTGAACGCAAAATTCCAGGCACTAAAGGAACTAAACGGGAAAAGTACGGGGAAAAGTACTCCGGTGTGAACGCGCCTATTGGTGTTGTTGAAAGAATGAAGAGTAACCCTAGATTTAAAAACGTACAGTTCTGCGTGACATGTATTTAGAAATATAAATTGGTAATAACTTTACAATAGATGTTGATAGATTAGTAAAGGTGTTATTGAGGTGGCCTTTGTGTGGGAAGAGAATCTGAGTAATTCTCCCCCAAATCTTCCAGTAATGACTAATCTGGGACTTGCTGCTCTGTGAAAGCTTAAGCTCTTTCCTCTGGCTGCAAAATGCCTAGTGTGAGTATAGAAAAATATAAGAAGAGCTCAAAATTCTTCTTCCAAAAAAGTCAGACACCAGAGGCCATCAGCAGCCAAAGTCATCATCTGGGTTATTCATAAAAGAAATGGACTTTGCCTGAAGCATCTCTCAAAATCAAACGGGGCTTTTAAAATGCTCTTTAGCTTTTGACCAGGATTAATGTCTGTGTGAAAGGGACAAGCTCTTTATTGCGTTTGCCCCTGTTTGCCCTACTGGTGTACTTAAGTCCTTCTATCCACTATGTTTTGGGTTAACAAAATGTCACTGCACAGATCCCCCGTGACACTGTTCCCATGTTGCAAGCTGTTCTAGTAGACTAAGTTTAAGGAATTGGTAGAGAAGATGTATACAAACTTGATTGAACTGATGCAAGTTTATGACCTTGAAGTATATGTTTGAATGTATTGCGTACAAAAGGTGAGTACATTATTTATGACATACAGTTCATCCTTTTAGCAGTATAAGTTTAGTGGCCAGTACTACTTCTTTTTCTGGGTTGATGCATGATTAAAGAAATATATACGTATATCATAAAGCACACCAACACAATGCGTTAGATTAAGTATATATAAGTATCATTATTAAAGCAGATTGTATACAGTAGATACAGTAATGGTATTCTGCACATGTACACAGGAAACCTTTATTGTGCATCACTTGCCAAAAGCACTCAGTCGCCTCGTTCCCCTGACAGCGAGCAGATGTTGGCAGCTGTCAGTGTGACGCCACACGGAAGAACAAACAGCTGGAGGGGGTTTGGGGAATGCCACCCGCTGCCACTGCACGGTGTCACTCTTAATCCCTTGGCTCTATACTGACACGCACACATTCACAGTCGACATGTACAAAAAGATACATGTACTGTACATCCACAGGGCAAGAGATCTGGACAATCAGTTTTACGATAAATTAACAAAAAGGCACAGAATGCTCCAGCGACACCTGTCAATGTTTACTACTCCGGTGTTGCCATTTTGGAATGTAAACTTCACTTTTAGCTTTTTTTTATTACTGCTAAACTTTTGCAAATGTGGAACATGCATCAACTTGAAGCCACACATCTTAGCTGTAGGATATAAAGCACCTTTCCTGCTGTCGTATCCTTGAGTCGGGTAAATGAAAAAAGTATCTCCTTCATAACATGATTAATAATTATTGGACTTTTTTCAAATAACCTACGCCAAGAAAGTTATGTTTTTTTGGTTTGTTTGCTTGTCAGCCGGATTACGGAAACAATACTAGACAGATCCATGAAACCTGATGAAAGGGTTTATGCTGCATGAGCCAATGAAGAACCCATTATTTTTTTTGGAGCTGATCCGAATCAGGGGGCGGATATATTTTCACTTTCGTTAACATTGATAGAGGATTTGGCAGAGGTTTGCGCTCTCCATCGACCTCCATGTGTCACTTCTGCTGCAGTCGTTGTGTACAGTAGTAAAGCCATCTGTCAGACAATAATGTACCATTCCTTTAATGGAGTAAGGTTACAATAACAAGGGGAACACTCTGCCCCTCCATGTGAGGTCGGCCCAGACCCTAGGGGTTTTTAAATCTAAACTAAAAACACACTTCTTCTCTCTGGCTTTCTAGTTAGAGCGGAGCACGACTCCTGACTTTTCCGTGTGTTTTATTTTTATTTTGTTTTTAAGATATATCTGTTGTAATTTATTGTCGTTTATTGTGATTTGTAGTAATGTGTTTTTATTACATGTACAGCACTTTGGCTCGACCAAAAATCGCTTTTAAATGTGCTATATAAATAAAACCTGATTTGATTTGATTTGATTTGATTTGAACTGCATAGATTTCTATCAAAAATGACTTCATTCAGCAAGCCTCTGCTGCGGCGAGGTCTTTTAGTTTTTTCCTCTCCTGTCGTGGCGCTCGTGTGCTCGTAGGCTGTTGATCCTGTGGAGAACCGAGCTGTGCTTTGTCACATTTTGAGGGGCAGACTGCCAGACTTAACTCCAGGCCTGTGGCATTACCCAAAATGGCAGCTCTCAGTTTGGCTGCCTCTCATGGTGTGTGTTTCTGAGCCTGGCTGTGTCAGAACTGTTGAAGTGTACAATATCATGTCGTTTTCAGAGGCTACAGTTGTACAATATGGGCTTGTTGGTGAATTTGAATTGTTCCATCTAGCTTGAACCCCCCCCCCCTGGTTAAGATGACAAATATAGAACAGTCAAGCAAATATGAGTCCAATAATCATAGAGCATGATGTCATACATCTGGTAAAGTAATCAAGATATGATGTCAGTTATAATATGCTCTTCTAATTATTTATATGCGTGCGCTGTTCAATGCTTCCCTTCTATTTAAAAGTATTGACTCGAACATTAAATGTCTTAGCTTGTGAAATAAGCATTTTTACTTTGTGCACTGAACGCAGGACACATGACAAATGGTAGAAAGGTAATAATGTTGCAAAGACTGTAAACCAAAGTGGTACATAGGGAGTTAATTTTCTTCTATTTAGGATTCCCCAGCAGTGTCTCTTTTCCCTTCATCTTTAAGCGTGTGAATGCTTCTCTGTGTCAGCGAAGTCGATTGTATTGACTCATGTTTACACTTGATTTCAAATTCTTTTCTTCTTTCCCCACAGAGCGACCATAGAGGAAGTGGAGGGGGATGTGTGTGAGTTGGAATCCAAGCTCGACAAAGTGAGTACCACCCATGGAAAACATTGCTTAATTGTTCATTTGTTCTACTGTTTGAACTGGCAGAGGCCATCCTGTGAGTGGAGAGCTGCAGGTTTGTCTCTGTCCGCAGAATATCCTCTCAGATTGCCTTTTGAGTAAGATGACCAATGTATTATGGGCTGTAACTGGACAATTCACTTCTGTTATTCCTAAAAAGCACGACCAAATCCATTGTTGAACAGTGACTCTGAAGTTTGAGCAGATCACATCTCTGTTCATTTCCAACACAAAACAACATCTACACCAACATGTGACTTTAAACATCTTTCTTCTTACAACTACATTCTGTTTACTAAATCATAAACAAACATTGAGCATTGACCAGACAATGGAAATATGTGTGCCTTTTTAAAACTGTGTATGGTTGGTGTTGTTTCTAATGCAGACGTTGATGGAAAAACAATATTAGGGTTAGGGTTATAGTCTAGAAAAACTAAAATATGTTGTATGTTCTCTTTGTCATAGTTGGCCATCTATAGTGTGGCTTGCTGAACATCAACACTAGTCCAGAGTGGGTTTTAGCCTCTTGTTGTTATGCTTGACTTTATAGGTAACGTCTAACTTTCACACAGGAACCAGTAAAGTAGCCTTTTGCCTTTGTTTCCTGTTGATGGTTCAGATTATATTCTCTTGCCTAGGGAGCCGCATCAGAGTTCATCTCACTAATTGTTCTCAAATGAACCAAACTAAACTAATAAACCAACCAAGGTAACTAGAAGCACTCAGTATTTGTCCTTCCCTGAAAGAAAAACCAATCCCTCCTGCTGTCGACTCCCCGCAGAGCTGAGAGCATGTTCCCTAGCTGAGGGCGAGACCTGGAGCTTGGAAGAACCCAGTTTATTGTTACAGTCTTACAGAGTCCCACCCTCCTCCTCCTCCTCCTCCTCCTCCTCCTCCTCCTCACCCCACCTCTGTGACTCAGCCCCGGCCTCACTTCCCCTTCTGCTCTGGAGAGGAAGGATCTGCTGGAGAGTGGGTGTGTCTGTGTGCATAAGTATGGCTGTGAGACTGTATGTGAGTGTGTACGTGTTTCTGGGTGGAGGCGAGAGAAAACGGGCTGAAGACACCAGAGATCAACTCTTTCTTGAAGCTTCCTACCTGCCACGCATATACACACACAGCCATGTTGACTACATTGAACTTTTAACTGAGCCAATATTACATCTGTTCATAAAAGGACTACTTTCCTAAGAGACTGATGACTCCAACAGTGGTTAGGTGTTTATAGCTTTCTTATTACCAGGTCAGTTTTGATTAAAACTGTGGTTCTATTTATTTTAAGTAAAATAATCCCTCATGGTGGTCACAGTTTCTTGCTTCTTTGAAAGGTCTAACTGAAAGATGTCTGCACAACATTTAGTTAACAAATGATTTACATGCAAATTACAAGACAAATAATACATTATTTTTAGAAATATCAACTAGATTTGAGCAAACTATGAAAACTCTCATAGTTACCAGTCCAGGTCCCCTAACGAATTCAGTCTCATACAACCTTCCTGTAATAATTAAAACTTTCATGAAGGTTATATGTTACGTTTTTGGTCAAAGGAGGAGAGTTGATTCCATCGTTCGGTCATTTGTGAGGCGGAAAGAGAGAAAAAGACAAAGTAATTATCTTGTGCAAAGGGGATCAAACAGGAAATACAGTTTATGAATATGGTTGGTGTGTGTGTGGGTGGGTGGGTGGGTGGGTGGGTGGGTGGATGTGTGTGTGTGTATGTGGGTGGGTGATAATGCATGCGTTATGTGTATTTAGGTAAAATATTAACATCAACCTTGACATTACCTGCTGATGTTTAAAAGTTTCCTGCGTAAAACAAGCACCTATTAGGTCATTAGAAAGTTACATATTACCTTCTGACCTGTGCTGCTAAGACAGTTTTATAGGTATACCTAAATTAATGTAGTTTTCCTATTCTGTATTGTAATGGAATACCACCATTTGAATGACAGCATTATTAATATTAGTTTAATGTGAGCGAAATGATTTGCTTGTGTTTTATCCAATTTCAGATTTTCCCCATTAAATAATCAATATCAATTGATCAAATACTTTCTAGAAGGAAAGACATTACATTTGTGTTTTATCAGCTTTAATCTGTTAATCACTTACTAATCTGTTAAGGAGATTCCTATAAGAAAAGGAGTGTTTTTGGGTAAGTTATTTAGCTGCTTTGGCTGAAGAGGCATACGTAGGCTCTCTTTCATCTGCAGTGTGGGAGTTGATGGAGAACAGCCAGTGTTTTGTTGTGAGTTTACATAACCTGGAATTATGTTTGCCCCAAATGAGTCAGAAGGGAAAGAAGTGCCTGTTGTTAATGACTAGAAACTGACATCAGTGTTAGTCTTTTGCTCTTCTTTGTTTCAATAAATCCCTCTGAACCTATTTTAAGCAGCAAACTTTTAAGTGTTTTTAATAAGACAGAATGTCCTGAAGAAATGCCCGACTTTGTTCTAGTTTCTGTTCACTAAGTTTTATCATCTTCTCTTTATTCTGTCAATTACTGCATTTCTTCATGTCTCTATTTTCACCCCCTAACCACCTGTCTCTTTCTTTTTCTCTCCCTAGTTGGTGAAGTTGTGCATTGGGATGATTGACGCCGGAAAAGCCTACAATGCAGCCAACAGGCAGTTTGTCAACGGGATCCGGGAGCTAGCCCAGCAGTCCACCAAAGATGAGGTCATAGAGGTAAACAAACAAACTTGAATCTGAATCAACAGCATTACAGAGTGGGTGTGTTTCTCTTGTCATGTTATGGGGGGCAGTCTTTTTTCCACCTTAAATTCAATGATGACATATTTGATAAGATTTAAAGTTATTATTCGTATACAAAAAAAACTTGTAATAAACATTACACAAATTGGCAGAGTGGTTGATTCTTCCTGGTTCCAAGATATAGAGACTTGTACTGCCTCTGTTTGCACTCACTACCTCCTTTCATTGTTTAAAGTATTTTCAATTTGCCAGGTTGAATCTATAAAAAGAAAAATGAGGCATAGTAAAACTTTGGCCTGTCCACTGGGTCTTGCCAAGGTCAAGATGTTTTGTTTTGCTTTCTCACATTACTTTTGCATGGCGAGGCAAGCGCTTCCTCTCTGCCTTTGTGTGTCTCCCTCAATGCCTCTCCCTTGGGTTACAGTTCAGCCTCTGAATGTATTTGGTGGGAGTAACTTAGCCAAAAGAATTCTCTCCCAAAGTGTTATTGTGTCTCCAAAATACACCACAGTTCTCATGTAACAATACCTGTCCGACAAAAGACTTGTGTTTGTCTAGGCATATGTGATGAAACATGTAGTAGACATTTGCCTCTTACTTTCTTTAATACAGATAGTACCTCATAAATAGATTACATGTGCACTTTGTGATAATGTTTGTGTTATTGATATTAAATACATGCCAATTCTCTTCATCTCTGTCATTTTGTTCTCCCCACAGTCGAGTCTCACAAAGTTTGCTGAAAGCCTGCAGGAGATGATCAACTATCACACGGTATGCATTCACTGCCATGTGAAACCGGATGTGTTGTCCTTGTTTTATAACCCCATTTACAGCTGGTTGATGACAAAACTCAGCTGTGCCGACAGTCTGGAAGAGCCCTTTAACTGTCAGAGTTTGTATTTACTGCCCAGAAGGACAGCAGCAGACTACAAGACAGAGACACTGGGTCTGTGAGAGGATGACTAGGAGTTGAGAGGAATTGCTCTATAGAGAATTAGCATTACTGTAAAAATGTGCCAACTTTGGCTTACGTAAAATATGGTAAGACGCCTAAAACCCCCTCCTTTGATACATTTCGTATGTTAGAAGCATAGCAATGAAATCAATTCCCTGCCTCCCATATTGTGGAATCTGTGGTATCTGTTGGAATGAATCATGTGCTACCGAGGTAAACATGTCCGTGGTCATTTTTTTTTACAATGTGGTTGTCATCCTGGAGACACAGGAAGAACCATAATAGGCTTCAGTCAGACCTTTCTGTTCAGTTTCATGTGTTTACAGCATTGTCATCTGATGATCTCCATGGTCCAACCACTAGATATTTGACGATAAATAACCATGACTCCTTATTGATGAGGGACGTTATCCTCTCACGTCCCTCATCACGCTCTCCAAGGAGCCTGGTAGCACAGATCTAATGATGTGGACATTCTTTCCCAGAGTCCCCTTGGTAGTCTCCTCAGTTGTCAGTCTCTGGTGACACTGACATTCAGAAATGCAAACACAACTTTGTTTGTCCTCTCATTAAGAATCCCATGATGACAGAGATGAGGCACAGGGCGAGCTAGAGGAGCTTGTTCTATAGATGAAGTGTTTTGCTTGATCTCCCTTGTCATGTCTTGTTTCTTTTACGTTTGCATAACATGTTCAGAGTGCATCTCACTGTGTGCGACATGTTTGGTAGAACAAACAACCGAGCCAGGGGTGCCGCTACTGGGGTTTGACCTTTTTGAAGTCTTTATGCACGGGAACTTTACCTGCTATTAATATGGATCCCTAAAATGGTTTGGGTTCACAAACTGGAATATGATTGAACAGACAAACTAAAATGAATTGTCTTGATGAAGCCACAGTTCTACTAAATTGTTAAAAAGCCTTTTCTGCATATCTGCCATTGATGTTATCATTGCTACTGCTACAACTAGACATATGATTTGTGTGATGCAAAATAAGTTAGAGGGACTTTTATTTGGATATATTTATTTTATGAATTGATCAGTTAATGACAGAAAATGCATCAGCTACTGTTTTAAACATGGGTTATTGTTAAAGTCATTTTTACAGCCAACATGCCAAACATTTGGTGTTTTGACACTTTCCTAAGAACAAAGTGAAAAAATGGATTAAATCAGATCGTTGAATGTGTAGTATATCAATTATAGGTTTGGGCTAGTTTGGTTCAGGTTTCGTTTAATTTGGTTTTACAGACAGTATTGGTTCCACCTTAAATTCAGACTGTAACGTTCCCAGATTAAATGAGATGCAGATCTATTTGAACTAATATACCAAAAACCTGCAGCGTTGGCAGTCTACCCTGACTCAACAGGGAAGTCTTTCTTCATCAAATCTCATTAGCTTCCTTCACTGGACCCTGAAAGCCTCCGGCAGCCACAATGCCGGCCTGGGACTGTTACTCAACAGTGGAAACTGCGGTCGCGTCAGCTGACTGTCGGATAGGTTTTTGCCGCTCAGCGATCTTTCAGCACATGATTCACTCAAACACAGAGCTCAATCTGTTTGTCACTCGGAGCCTCTCCCAGCCACACTGCTCATATTGTCTTGTCTGGCCGTGAAATCACTTCAGTGTTCAGGGTTGTTGTTTGGCCTTTTGCTTGGTAGCTCATTTTGAGGAGGCATGTAGGTGAATGAGACTGACTCACTGGCAAAAATAAGCGAGTCAGGTCAATTCTCGTGTTTTTGTTTTTACGAGGGGATGTACACACACAGCTTGTTTGCGTATATTTAGCTGCCTAATTGCAACCTGCAGTGTTACAAAAATCCTCCTAAACAGGGGTGCCATATGCTGACTTGCAAAACACCCAAAGGGCCTGGAGAGTAAAATACATTTATCAGCTCTTTCCTGGTTTCCTAGAAAAATATGTTTAATGCTCGAACTGTTCAACTATAGAGAAACTTTCAGCCAAGCATACGAATTTACCGTTTCCTTCTTTCCTTCCTCACAGATATTATTCGATCAGGCCCAGAGATCAATCAAGATCCAGCTACAGACATTTATCAAAGAGTGAGTATTCATTGAATAAAGATGGACAAGGCTGGTTATATCTCTGAGCAATCTGAGCCTTTGAAGAATGGCCTAATTTTCTGTCTAATCTCTCTGTCATAACAAGCTGCTGCACTTTTAGACTTTTACTTTATTCAGATCAACTTAAAATGAGGAAAACTGGAGTTAATATTCTTCAAACCCATCTAAAACCTGGAGAAAATATTTACTAACTATTGAATAGAGAAAGCCCTTTCTGGAAATTATGAAAATAAAGCAGAATCTGGGGGGATGTCACATATCTGATGGACAGATGATCAAGACAGGGCATGCAAGTCATTTAATTAGATAAAATATATTTTCTATATAATATCTCCCTGTTTAAAACCTTCTTATACAGAACTGAATTCCAGACTGCTTGTATAAGTGCAGTAAGCAGTGGGGCCGTTCAGTTCCTTTCATTATGAGGATTAGCTGTTTTTACCCCTGGCAAACCGAAGCTTTACACCCACATCAGCAGCACCCATGCTTCTCAAGGAAAGCTGGGATACATGTTCTATCATAATGACTCGCTACCGTGCAGCTCTTAAACATTAATCCCATTTAAAAACATCGAAAATACAACATTTAAAAATCGTTGTCCTCCTCTTCAAGTCACCTACACGGACTCAGCACAAGACCTGGGTCAAATAGTTTTAGCAAACAATTTTGTTTGTTTTAACCTTCCTGGATTTCCAGCTGACCAAGATATGAAATCACCTTTAACCTTTGTGTGTTCCTGTTGCCGGACCATGGTGCTGTTGCTTCACATCCAGAGATAGCTTTGCTTCCTCTTACATTTCAACTTTTCCCCTTACAACATTGTTGACAACGTAGAGACATGTCCAATTTGACCCTAGTCAGGGAGTAAATAAAAAAACCTTAAAACGTTATCCTTAAATTGTATGTAAATGCTGTTGCACCAGTGTAATAGTTGTGAAACCATCTATTTTCACCCAGCTCAATTAAAGACATATTTGTAGTGCTCAAAATGAGTGATCAGCAGCGATGAAAATACATTTGTAAAACATTTCTTCTCACATCCATATATAATAAGTACCTTTTAATTTATTTGACAGCTGCCTGTTTGCCTAACTTAAATCCCCCTGCACTCAACTAATCAATACTTAAACAATATTTTAATTGAATGTATTTGTCTTAATAATCCTCTGTCTCCTGCATTTCTTTGACAGTGACCTACGTAAATTTAAAGAAGCCAAGAAGCAATTCGATAAAGTGAGCGAGGAAAAGGAGGCGGCGCTGATCAAGAACGCTCAGGCTCCCCGCAACAAGCAGCATGAGGTGGAGGAGGCCACCAACATCCTCACCGCCACGCGCAAGTGCTTCCGACACATCGTCCTCGACTACGTCTTACAGGTACAGAAACTCATCTAGGGGTTTAAATTGAAGCACTCTTTAAAGGAGAGGTAATGAACAGCATCTGCAAACGAGGTCACATTGTTTTAAGATAAAAGTGTCAGGAGTCCCGTGTTGCACAACATCTTTGGAAGCTTTTAAAAAAGGCCAGCTAAGCAGAGTCGTGCGCAATATTCCTCTGCGTACCATTGCCAACAAAGATCTGGATATTGAATTTATATGCCGAGTCAGGTTAAAAAAATGCTGACACAGAGAGGAATGAACAGCAGCTGTGTTCGCTTCTGTTAAATCTAAAGGGAAACACAGAATCTCATCCACCTGTCAGGTTCCAGTTAACCACATCACAGTCAATTTGGATCAAAAAACAGTAGCAGCAGACCCGGGAGCAGCTGTTGAATTAGTAGCAGTGTCGACCAGAAGTGTAAACAGTAACCTGATAGTACATAGTTAGACTGTAAAGGTTTTTTTAACGATAATAAGAAAACTCATGTATAGCAGTTCTAGAAGGATTTTGCTACATTTTATTGAACTATTTGTAAATAGTATCAGAATGAGATAAGACACTCATTCATAAAAAAGGTTGCTTTTTGAGAGGTTTTATCATCTGTGTAGTGTGAAATAACTGTCAGGGCCACAGCAGCAGCACTGATGAATGCTTCGTGCTCTCTGATAAAGCAGCTGCCAGCCCTGTTATTGAATCTCACTCCAAAGAAACAGACAATGCTCTATGGACACAGTCCTTTTTAAAATTTGATTTAGAAAAGAAACCCAAAAGCTGGTTGAAAATAGGGTTGGCAGTCTGCCCCAGCAGCCCACTGCGTAATCACTCTCCAATCAAATGAAGCCTGGCTGTGAGAAATGAGTCGAGTTTTTTATCTTGCATGTTAGTCATGATAATCTATAAGCCCAGCAGCTAGCACAGCTGATTTAAATTGGTCTCCTTTAAAGTTTCACTTTTGGGTTGTGCTGTCAGCACTTTTGAAATACTGCTAACTTCTGCAGCTCTGCTTTCAGGAAACATTTCAGACGGATTTTACTTTAACATTTGTTCTTCTTTTTAGATTGTATGTGTGGCATTTTTGCTTAATTATACAGCGCACAGTTTCCAGTGACATGCAAGATGGTAGAGGGAGAAGAAAATATATGTGAGAGGTTGTAAGCTAGACTTCATGACATTTTAAAAATGGAGCATTTCTCTTTACTCTACTGGGCCACGTAGAGCTCGATCATACAATGCTGACCTTTAAACATCGGGCTGACTTTATTGAATGTTGGTCAGGCCTAAAAAAAAACACATCTAAATGTAATGAATGATTTGAAAAGATAATACAGCCGTCTGACTTCATGCAGCTGTAACTTGACACCCCTGACATACGAACCATTAATACCATACACAGAAAAGCAGAAGCAACGTTAACACCCAGTAGAGAAAATGGGAGTTGTTAATCTACAAAACATAACTAACAGGAAATTGCCAAATAATTCAAAATGTAAACCTTCATGATTTACAACTACTTACCAACAAATTGCTCATAAATGTAGCTTGTGGCAGTTGTGTAGGTTGACACCATAATGAACTTTGCTGTTTTAACAACCATCGTTTATAGGTGTCATTCCAGTCAAAACTACTAATTGACTGTAATCAAAAGAAGGAGGGGGCTTGTAAAGTGTTGATGCATCCTCCCCTGGGTATATGTTACATCTGTGTATAAACACCAAGTGTGGTTAGGGTTGTCAAGGAAAATGGCCTCACAATCTACATCGGAAACCATATTGATGGCCACAACAAGGATTTAAACTTTTGTTCATCACATTTTGAAGCTGCTATAACCACAATAAAATAAAAACAATTTGACCCAAGTTAATCTGTAAGCATGAGACGTTACCTCAGCTACCTCACGTTCTATATTAGCTGTATGCATGCACCACGCCCAGGCAATGACTCTACTCTCGCACAGTCATTAGTACCCCATCAGTCAAAATTAAGCTAACTAGCTCACTGGCTGTACTTACAAGCTGACATAATTGATCTCCACTCTGAGACATTAACCTAAGATAACTTCTCCAGTCAGATGAGCAGCACAGAGCTAATTAGCTGCAGATTAAGAGGAGTCTGCTTCAAACACACAAGCAGAGAGGGAGACGGGAGGCCACAATAAATGCAGCAGGATACTGTTGATGATATGTGAGACAGGCTACCACAGCATCCCTGAGTTAACACGGGACACGGAGCTCCTCCTAGTGTCGGTAGGAGGAACTACGGTCCAGGAAAGCTTGGGGGCATTTTCTTCTGCTTCAGTTAAACTCATTTCATGCTCGTCTACTCTCTTTAATTTGTCCTTTTCTTTGGAAGTTCTTTTTTTTTTTATCTGAAGTCTCACCTCATTTCCCCTTGTGTCTTGTGTGTTGATTACGTTTTATTTCCTTAGTTTGGTGTTGATGTTGTACATGTTGAGTTTCATCATAAATATGAAATCCTTTCTACTTCTTACCGTTCTGTTTTTGTTCCTTACAGATCAACGTGCTACAATCAAAAAGAAGATCAGAAATCCTGAAATCAGTGAGTATACTTTTCTTACTTAAATGATTTATGCAGCATCCCTTCCGGCTCTCTTAATATTCACAGCTTTCTCTCCACAGATGTTGTCCTTTATGTATGCCCACCTGACGTTCTTCCATCAAGGATATGACCTCTTCAGTGAACTACAACCTCTGATGAAACAGCTTGGAGGACAGGTACAGGCAACAGCACTGCACACACACACACACACACACACACACACACACACACACACACACACACACACACACACACACACACACACACACACACACACACACACACACACACACACACACACACACACACACACACACACACACACACACACACACACACACACACACACACACACACACACACACACACACACACACACACACGCATATGTATCCGTTAAGAGGTTTTGAATGTCACCAAATATATATATTTATTATATACTTTTACATTTCTTTGTTTTTAAGGTGAACCCTTAATTTTGTCAGCAAGTAATTCATTTAAAGTGCTCAAAATTTAGTTTGACTTTTCCCTTTTATTTTAATTAAACAATTTGTTTAAATCCAAACATTAACTTAGTCGGGGACATCCGACACTTGCAATGTTATTATAACATTCTGTATAAACTTTTGCAACATAAGCAAACGTTAGCTGACAATTATTCCGCTCCTCTGCTTGAAATAGACTAAGTTTACATACCAGTGCTGTGTCAAGGGTAAACAGTAACACTTTTTATTATCTAGACAAAGACAATATTGTTTATAACCTAAAACGTGTTCATGTTCAGGGTTTATTAAGAGCTTAAAGTTAGTGTTTCAAGTGCGGACTGTGACTTTATCCATCTTCTGAGTTTGTACACAGTGGGTTTTCACTTTCATCATTAGGAAGCAGTACAACTGCACTTTGACCTCCAGACGCACTCTTCCTTTGTGTTTGTGTTCCTACCCTCTCAGTGTGGGTCTACTGCTATCTTTTTGCCAACTGATACTTTAGCTCTGCGAGTGTTTGTGTGCATCCTCTGATAAACAGAGCCTTCCCTCTGAGCCAGAGGATGGCCCGAATGTGACTTTAAGATGATTATCACAGTTGAGCTGCTCTTACAGTGAGTAGGAATGAGGAAAAAAGCAAGGGGGCTGGAAAAGTATTTTTCTCACAGTCAGTCGACTGTCAGCTGAGCAAACACAGCAAATAAACCTCAGATTGATTTTTGGAGGTTTTGGAATATAATCTCTGAGACTTGAGCAGTAGAAGAACCGGAGGAGAGGAACATGTTTCACAAAACTGGGTGAAAGACAAAGGAAGAAAGGAGACTAGTCACAGAGAGCTGGAGAGGAGCAGAAGATTATAGGGCACTTCTTAGAGAAAAGTGCAGCTTTGAAACATGTTTTTGTGACGGTTGAACCAACAACAAATTGAAGAAGGAAACAAACAGTATTTTTTTTTGAGAAACAGAAACATTTGGGAGCCAGATCTGAAGAGGTGGGACAGTGGTCCCCTAAATTGGATCAGGGGAAAGAGTGATTTCTACCCTTCATGTTCTGAAGTTAGAACCATCTGACGGTTGGACGATCCAGAAATTGACAGACAGAACCAAAGAGTGCTGGGAGAAGAACATCGGGAGGAGAGGACCCACTTTGAAAGCAGATTGTAGGAAGGGATAAGAGGAGGAATGTAATCTTCTCAAAGGAAAAGTGATTGAAGTGGAATGGAGAGGCATGGACTGTAAGCCTGCCACACTCAAAACACAGCGAGGATTGTGTGAAGAAAAAGGAAGAGAAGTGCAAAAGAAAACAGATCGTGCAAAGAGAGGGAATGAGAGATGCAGCTGTGTATGAATGCGTTGTGGGGATCGTAAGCCTGTCGCACTGAATTTGGAATAGTGCAAAACTTAAAGGAGAGGAAGAATAGAGGCCGAGCTGTGGGAAGCAGTGACAAGAGGATTGTGGATTATTTCTTTTCTGCCCTCCATCATGAAGCTGAAGAAAGTGGAGAGGCTGTGCAGGGAGGTGTGGAGGAGCTGTCAACAGGTCTGAAAATATGACTCGATGGCTGTAGTCAAAGAGAAAGAGATCAAGGGCGGGGAAATTAGCATTAGAGATCAAAAACTGCTACTACGTTTTGGTCTTAATTTCAAAGTATGGTGAGAGGAAATGCTTGAAGTTTAAGTAAATACAAATAAAGCTGGTTTTCTACCCCAGCTTGGTGTAAATGTAGTTGCATTGCATGATATTTCTGCAGTGTGTTTATGCTTGGGAACTGTAAGCCGACTTATAAATACAAAATAAAATGATTATAAATATAAAGGTAAGAAATGGTGGCCAAAAAACTGAAGTTAATTCAGTTTTTGAAGTTACACATAGTAATGTAGTTGCAGAAAACAAAAAGTAAATGTTTGTGCTTGTTTGGGAATTAGTAACAAAGCTAGAATAAAGGGCAAGACAACAAAAAGTCAAAAGACAAAAAAAATAAGTAAAGACTAATCGATCAAGAAAGTGACAGTAATAACAAGACACATGGAAATATTATGAATCAAAATCCTGTTTAAGATAAAACCAAAAACAGCTGGAGACCCTTTAAGGAGGTTTTTGAATGACCAATTTATGGTTCATGTAAAATGTGCCACTTTTTCCATTGTAGCTTTTGGAAACAGCTGGACTTTGTCTAAATATAAAATAATCAGCTGATTGCATGGTTCCATGACACAAAGCCTCAGGATTGCACATGTGTTGAGTGAACATATTCATTCAAAAGGATGTTTTGTATCTTTTCCATGAATCATGCAGCTTGTCAGCATGGGGTAACATGTCAGGGCAGATCTGAGCAATGTGACCCGAATTCTTCCGTGTGGTCTGTAGGAGACAAACAGAGTGAGACATCTGAGGCAATTGTCTCCGCTGACATTGTCACTGGGGGCTGCATAGTAAGATAGATAAGACGTTAGAGGTGAGACTGTCACAAATATGTGGAGACACAAGCCCACACACCTGCCTTTGTAGATACAGTAAAGCAGATAGATGGTCCTGGACTGGACTAGTTGTCACAATGGGACGGGGAAAACATTTCCCATCTGATGTTATCAGCCTCTCGCTCTGACGTCCACCCATTTCCTGTCCAAAGAAAACAAAAGATTTGGCTCCCACAAATTCTTCTTCATTTTTGTCATATTTTCTATATTTTGTGATAAAAACAAAACATTGAAAGAATAATAATAATAATAATAATAATAATAATAATAATAATAATAATAATAATAATAATAATAATAATAATGCAAAACATATAGGTTTCAAAATCTTAAAAGGCTTTTGCAGCATCAGAAACTAAGTAAAATTCCGCCCTCTTCTATCTCATTTTGCCCACTGACTTCTCTGTTAGCCATTAGCATGAATTGCCATTTAGCTGGAAGTTGTGGTACAGTATTTTGTGTCTATAAATCTACAGCAGGCATTTAAAGCATATAAGGAACAAAGCTTAGCTGTAGTAAACATGCAACATCCCGCCTTTAACATGCAGATAATGAATCTTTTGTGTTTAAGCCACTAGTCACGATGCTTAAGGTCTGATTGCAGCCACAGACTATCAAGAGGTTTAGAGTAGAAATGTACTGCTTTAAGGCAAAACAACACATTTTCACCACTGTATGACCTCCACCAGTTCATTTAAGTCTTTTTTAGATTTGTTGCCTTCTTCTCAAAAGATGCTTTGTACTCCTCTGGTCTACACTCGATGGTTACTCGAGGAGAATCAATCATGCCCCATCCAATTTCACACATGATGAAGCCTCCACAGCACGGTCCATTTTGTTTAGAGAAGGCCCGTCTTCTCTCGCTGTGGCCTCTGGAAAAGTGATTCATCTGCTGGAATCAATCGTGCTCTCACAAATGAAAAGGGGAATGAAGTGTTGGTGCACACACACTTATATACACACCTTTCAAATGGAGACGAAAGAGAACGCTTTCATTGTAATGGCCCCGTGTTAGATTGTACGACCTTTACACGTACTGCTTTCTCTGTGATTGTATGGAGGGATAAATCAGCAAAAATTAGACGTTCATACTTTGCCCTGAAAAAAGAAGAAATGTAACGTGAAGGCATCAAAGCAAAACATCTTGACCATATTGATGTTGGAATATGTTTTTTGTTGTGTACGTATGCGTTATTTTTGGATTCATTCACCAATGTAGAATATACATTTAAAAAAGAAAAAGGATAACATTTGCATTTATGGTGAGCGTGACTAATCAGATGTTCTGTCTCTTGCAGTTGGACCAGCTGGTGGTGGATGCTGCCAAAGAGAAGAGGGACATGGAGCAGAAACACTCCACCATCCAGCAAAAGGTACACACAATATGTTCCCACCTTCACTTTTACACAAAACCCACTAAGCACATGGAAACTAAACAGTTTTCACACTATTAGCACTTTGCACAACCTGCAACCAAACATTATTTTAATTTGATCTGAATATTATTGGATACATCAATTTGTTTGGTTTATAAAATGGTGAAAGATATTGAACAATGTTTCACAGAGGAGTAAAGAAACCAGAAAATATGAATAATTAGGAAGCTGGAATTACTCCAACTGATACATTGATTATATTAAGAGTTGTCCATTATTCTAATAGTTAGCAGCTAATCCATTACATTGTGCACCTACCACACAATACAACATCATGCATAGGCGCACAATTGTGAATCATAAATGACAACGTTATCCTCCTTTTTACTCTGCCTAGCAACCTGAAAAAAACACAAACAAAAACACACACACTGACTCAACAGAGTGTGCTCAACAGGGCCAGGCTACTCTGAGCCTGGATTTGTCTTGCATGTTTACAGACTTTATGACTGTTAGATCCCACAAAGCCTTGGTCATTGCACTCGGGCCTCCTCCCATTCAAAGTAAACCCACTGTGCTGTGAACATGCTGCAGGATTTAGCTTCCACCCCACATCCTCTTGTGCTCCTTCTTCACTACAGTCACCGCTCCTCTGCACTGTGCTCTCTCTGAACACTATGCCAAGATATTACAAGCCTCTGGTACAGTAAAGGTCTCAGGATGAAAGCATTCAAAGTACATTTTGCTAGGTTAATTTACATTCTGAAGACAAATCAATTATTTGTATTTGAAAGAAACATTACATGTACAATTATTTGCCTAAGGGGGCATTCACATATGAAAGCTCAATAGATCAATTTCAGCCATTCACTGTTCATTTGTCATGTGAGTGAATGGAGGTAGTACTCCGCCCTCAGGTGTAAGGAGATCTCCAGGGATGATCTCAGCCACACACCCATGCATTATTGACAGCCGACGGAAACCCATTTCCAAACAAATGAGGTTGAGTTTCAGATCCCTCCCATCTCTGGTCAGCACCCGTGCCAACACTTATATGACCAGTGAGCCACACTTGTTGATATATTGTTAACCAGAAGGGTGCACTAGCAATGTTTACAAGAAATGAAATGGAAAGAGAAAAAAAAACAAAAATGACATAAAAGTATCAGACCATTTTTTGCCCCCTTAAAGGTAGGGTAGGTAAGTTTGAGAAACCGGCTCGAGATACACTTTTTGTTATATTCCATGGAATGCTCTTAACATCCCGATAGCAATGAATATCTTAAGTGCTTTGACAAAAAATCCATAAAAAAATGTCATCTGTGGAAGCCGTAGTACTGTAAAAAGTACGACCAATCATTTTAGCCGGCCCGGCTAAAATAACTGGATGGCCTACCTGCCTGTCAGCCTTCCATCTGTGCACAAACTTATCTCGTGCCCTCATTGGTCATGTGCGTGTTCGTGTGTGTTGGAGGAGGGGCTCTATAAGGAAGTGGCAAATTTTCTCCGGTTGTGTATTTTCAAATTCTAGCGATCTCGAGCCGGTTTCTCAAACTTACCTACCCCACCTTTAACATTAAATGTATGTAATTGAGTAGCTATTCAAAACATGAATGCTTTCTGTTTCTGTTCATTTCGGACACTGTGCATGTTTGAAGCTCGATGAACTTTCACAGTATTGAATAAAATATAAAGTTAGGAATGTGTGGGAATAACATCATGTTAGAGTATGTGGTGGTTAATTGCGCATAGCTTTAATTGGAGATTACACAACATCATTAACTCCAGACAGCATCTACCACTTCTTTATCCAGCTGGTGTCTGCTGGGCTTCTGTTGACAATTGTGTTCATTTTAGTCTCCAACTGTGTTCAAGTAGTACATCTCCCCCCCCCCCCCCCAACCCCCTCTGTTTGTTCTCTCCTTATATCGTTTTGTATTTTTATTTGTGTCTTTGCCTTCTCCATCTGTGTTTTCTTTTGCATCTTGTCCTCTTTCCCTCTCTGTATTCCCTCCTGCTCCGTCAGTGATGGTACGTGTGCCAACTTCCGCCTGTCCTTGAGCAACTATCCTCCGCCTCCCCTCCCTCAATTTATCTAGATGCTATTTATATATTGTCTCGCTCCCAACACTCGCTCTTGCTCTCTCTCTTGTCTGGCTGCCTATACGCAGACGTTCTTAACCAACTGTCTTTTTCTCTCTTCTACTTCTGCTCTCTTCTTCTTTTACTCACTTCAGGCCGCTATTCAGGTAAGCTTCGTTACTCTTTCCTTTCTCCTTCACTGTCATTTCTATGTCATGTCTGCAGCATGTGTGAAAAGATTCTGTACAACACGTTACTTTAACTGCTTGGGCTCCACCTCTGCAGCTAACGTCATTTGTGACAAAAACAGGGAGCCTGTTCATCACAAGATTAAACTGGCAACATACATGAATCATGATATGATGCCATTTAATAGATGTCTGTCATCACACGTGTCTTTGTGACTTCAGACTCAACCTCAATTTATCAATGAAATTAAGACTATTTTCATACCATAGTGATCTTACACATGGCTTTCCACCTTGTATTATGTTGCTTTTTTGTGCTAAGTTATCTTCAGATGTAAAATCAACCAAAGTGTGTTGAGTATTGGCAAGAAGGATGGTCCTATTTATGTTCAGTTATGTCTCAAAGGTTGAACTAAGTGAAGCATACTAATAGCACATAGTTTCATTATAACATTCTGCAATTGTGGTGGAAGATAAATGTATTGTACTGGCAAATTTACCCTGAGGAAATAGGATACACAAACATTTGTTGTCAAGGTGAGTTGTTGCACTTACAAGGTACAATGGCTTCACGTTGGTATATTAACCTCAGCTTTACAGCACAACATTGCTGAATTACTTCATTTAATATCAGGAACATGAATATTTCCCAAATGTTAGAGGTCAAAGTGCACAAAAGTGATATCAGGCTGACAATCTTCGACAGGTTTCTGTATCGGCCTTATTAACCAGAGCCTTTTGCAGCAACATAAACTAAACAGACTTTTACACATCTCTCCTCCTCTTGCTTTTGTAGTTGCGTTGGTGATGCAGGTGGTTTACCACTGTTGTTGTCCTCATCAGTTACTGGTAGACAAATGTGTGAAGGTTATGGTAGTGTTGTGAAACTTCAATGGGCAGAACATGTTTATTTGATATTCTAGTATGAGTCAGAACGTGTGTTTTTAAATAAAAGCCAGAGGTCTTGTAAAGTAATTGGTGAATTTTTCGATTTTTAATGATCATGTCGGACCCCTATTATTTTATTCCGAGTCATTATGCGTTGTATGTCTTATCAATACTATGCAAACTGTCGTCTTTATTTCAGTTTGCATACAAACCTGTCCCATCATCACTTTATTGATTTAACCTGAAGGGGGTCCCGAGGTTGTGTTTAGTATGCTGTCCATCTGCCTGCGTGCAGCAGCAGCACTATGACCACAGAGCATGACGGTGTGACAATGGCACGAACAGAGAGAGATGTGCTGCTGACTTAAAGATTGTCCTGTCTTGTCTCATAAAGAAAGACAAAATGTGTCATTGGTCTTGAAGCGGCTATAGTTTTAAGATGATCTGATTGTTTTTATGCAAGAGTAAGCCATATCCTCCTAACTGTCATACACACTAAATGTCAAATTAAGGCGCCCAACCATTACTGAAATTCAGGTTAAAGAAATAGCTACTTTATTACACACACACACGCGCACACACACACACACACGCACACGCACACGCACACGCACACGCACACGCACACGCACACACACGAGGGAGATGAGAGCTTGAAGGGAAAAGCTGAGTGCACGTCTGTTAAATTTCAGTCAGTATAAATGTTTGATGCCCGGGCTCTTCTGCACAGTCTACTTGATTATTCAAGCCCAACAGTCATACAAGCATCTCACACACACACACACACACTCGCACAAACACACTCACACAGACCGAGACACATAGGTGACCTTCGCTCGGGCCTCACGAGGAGGAGGAGGAGCAGCAGCAGCAGCAGAGGCAGTGACGAAAGTTTTGATAGACATGCACAGCCGTAAGAGAGGAGGTGAGGGTTGGAGAGACGGGCCACGCTGCTTACAGTGACACACTGCCATTGAGATGCTTCACAGGGAGACCTTGAGATAGCAAAGAATCAACTGCCTCACAGGGGAACATTCACACAGAAAAGAGGGCCCAGCCTTCATAAAAGCTGTGAAACATGAAGATTTTCAGCCGTTTTCACTACGTTTGGTATCTGGTGAGTTTAGCTGTAGGAGGGAGATTGAGAGTATCTGTGAGTCCCTGCATGCGACAGTGTCTTTGCCCATGGCTATTTATAGTAACAGTCTGTGTTTACGTTTGTTCCTTCAGGTGATTTTCTCTTGTGTGTATGCCATTTTTATTTTGACATATTCATAATTCCTTATTATACTGTGGTAGCATAAGAAATACATATTTATGTTCTCTGTGTGTCATTCTCTTGCTGTGTGCGACATTTTAGGAGGTGACTGAGCCTGAGTCTTTACCAGACTGCCGCAACTTTTGCGCTTGGAGGTCGACCTCCGTACGTAGAGTCACCGCATCGATTTCCATCTGACTTCCGCTTTGTAACCCTACCTCCCCCCCTTCTGTCTCCACTCCTCTCCTGCACACGCCAAGAGACTGCATTGCAGTCTTTGTGTTGATGTTTGCACCTTCATGTGTTTCCTCATTTTAGTGTGTCACACATGCATCAGTGTTGATGTGTTTTGATTATGCAGCATGTTCATTTTGACGCCTTATTGTTGTTGCCGGTATGGTCCGGTTGCTGGTTTGATGTCAGTGAGTGGTTTGTTGCTGTCCATTGTGACTCTTTGGATAAATGAATGAACACATCTCTGTTGTCAGGCGAAAACCTTGCGTCTTTAAAATGTGTCGGGAACTTAAAACAACTGAATAACTTCCAGTTTGACCACTACCTGTTTTTAAATATATGTGACATGGCTTCACAAACCCAAGCGGTCACTGAAATGTCTCGACCTATAGATGAAACGAGAGAACCAGACAGGATTTCACATGACAGCCAGGGTGTAGCTCTATATGCATTTTCTTCTTTGGCCTCAGTCTTGATCAGGGAGTTTTTCATGGTTGTATGGATTGCTGTGCTTGTTTGTTTGTGTACATGTGCGAGTGAACATCAAATACAATATCGTGGTTGTGTTTCCTAATTAAGTGAGCCATCAACTGACCATTAAGGGTTCTGAGCTGGGCATTAAGCATTTGTATGACTTAGGAATTGAGTTATTTGGAGAATTAGGAAAATTGTGTTCCCCTATATCTAAAGGTTCATTTTGTCCTACCTTAAGGAAAGGTTCATTTGTTGAATGGCTGGATTAGTATTTTCCTTTGTCTTTCTGTTCAGGAGCTTAACATAGACACATTTTGTTCCCATTGTGCACCCAAAATAACCTCAGTCGTCCCAGCGTATGTCATGCTGGAAAATTGTGTGTGTCCATCCATTTGAAACATCATTGTATCATAGGGCAAAGGGGTTTAAACAAAGCTTTTGCTCAGGTTACATTCAAAGATCCATGCAATGTTACAATGTGCAGTCATGCAACAGAAGTGATGCACTACATCAAACACACTTACGTCTCTGTAAGTGAAACTCTTCACTGTAAATATCTCGTAACATATTTATTGTAAAGAGAAACATCTAAAACAAAGACAGAACGCAGTCACAATATTTGTTGAAGGCAAGAAATCAAAATGACTTGAAAGTTACTTTCACTGAGAATAGGAATGTGTATCACATTCTGTGTGTATATATATATATATATATATATATATATATATATATATATATATATATTTTTTTTAAAGGACTTAATGCTGTAATTGAAGGTGTAAATGTACCCACAAGGACACACACAAACACACCCCGGCCCATACAGACATTCATCATGGTGTTTAATGTCACTTGAAGCTAAGAAAGCTGTAAGGGTGTTAGGAAAGTGTGACAGCAGCTCGGGTAGATAAAAGCTGGACTCGCCAAACTAGATTATGTTTGATTTGCAGGTCGGTCTTGGCAAACTACTGAGTATGTGATTTAATTTGCTGAAACGGAAAGTCTTTACAGTATATTATCTGTACAATTAGTTTCACTAAGCAACTTCAAACACAGAGTAAGATGTTAGAAAGGAAAATATTCTGAAACAATGAAACTGAAAATACAAATCTCCATAAAAGGTGTATAACTCAACATTAGAAGATATTCCAGTATTTTGTTAGATTTGTTATAACCTCCCTTCTCAGAGCATTCGTATCAAGGATTGAAATAGATCATAACTCCATCAGGAACCACCAGCTGTGCGTGTTGTTTCTATCTCGTCTGGTTTGGTTTGAAACATCATTCAGGTTAGTGTAAGAAGCAGCCGAGTGTTGTTGCTCTGCAGGAAGTTACTTAAGAGACTGATGGCCGTGTTTTGTGACTTTCAGGAAAGTGCTTAGTTACTACTTACTGCAAGTAAAAGTCACTACAAACAAAATAAAATATGAACATACTGATAGTAATTGGGGAAATGTGCATTTTATGTTTGCTGATTTTTCTGTCTTTGCTATTTTTCTTTCTTCCCTTTCTGACATGTGTTGTTTAGGACTTCTCGAATGACGACACCAAACTGGAGTACAATGTGGATGCAGATAACGGCATCGCAATGGAGGGCTATCTGTTTAAGAGGGCCAGCAATGCCTTTAAGACGTGGAATAGGTACAGACAGACACAGCTCAATAGGCGTCTCTATGAATACATTAAAAATTCAATTTTATGATAAGGAATTGCTACAGTAGGCTGATTATGCATTTACAGTAAGAGGGCAAGCTCTGTCATCAAAATGTTGAATAAAGATAATAAAGGTGCTTTACATTTTAATACCTCAGCAAGTACTTTGAGACATGTCTTGATAAGGATCTTTTTATAACGGCCACAAGAATATAATAAGGTTGAATGTAAAAGGAAAAGATGTACAGATGGGAACAGTAATTCTATTAGAAACTCATCACATTTTATCCTGAAGTAGAGTTTATTTTCTCTGCAACATGTATGATACATATTGGTATTTAGAATTTCTTATTTTTATAGTATTAAACTACACCTTCTACACATCAGTTATCTCTCTAGACATCACTCTTGTCCACACTAAAGTTATATCAAAGCTTTCTGTTATTTTAGGAGTGTCACTAGCAACAGCATGTGACTTTGTTTTTCTCCTCTCAGGCGTTGGTTCTCCATCCAGAACAATCAGCTAGTTTACCAGAAGAAATTTAAGGTATGTCAAGTGACTCCGTGCACACAGACCACAATCAAATATGCATGTGTTTGACTTCCAGCACAAAAAAACCCTCATGTATTTTTAACAGGATGCAGTAGCTTCATTTAAGAGCTGTAGTAGCCAAATCTAATGATATGTTTAGTATAGAATAAACCACAGCTGCTTGTGTTTTCTATGTATATGATCCAATCCATCTCAACATATATACATGTTTTGTATAACAACAACAATGTTTACATTTAGCTAAAGCTCAGAATGGAAAACATATCTATGCTATTAATTAAAGTGGACCTATCATGCTATATTTGAATAATATAGTGTAGGACCATACCTATATAAGGCATATTTATACTTTTTTTTTTCAAAATACCAAACAGATCATGCATTTTAGCCATGCCTCATTTTGCTCAATTTGACATTTTTTAGCTCTGTTTTTGCAAGGGCAGATTCAGTGAGAACAGCACCATCTACAGGCCTGGCATATGTACTACAGCGTCTCCAGCGCTTTCGAACGGCAATGGCCGTGGCCGTCTCCTCCTGATTGTTGGAGTTGGCCCAATAGCCGTAGCGCCACCGTCCTGACGTCAGGACAGTGTTCAAATCTGGATCAGTTTTTATCAGATCCGTTGCAGCCCCTTTTTTAGAGATTTGGGTATGGAGGAAAATAGAGAGGGTTGTGTTTTCTGACACTTGGTGAGTTCCCTGGAACACCGGGGACACATATTCATGTATAAAAGACGTACAAAAGTGCATTTTGCATGATAGGTCCCCTTTAAAGTAAAATAGTCAATTTTTTTTGTTATGCCTTGTTTCTCAATGGTGGTAATACCACGCCTTGGTTTTGCTTGGTTTTGAAAGAAAAAATGCCTACATCCTGACAGCAGCTTAAAACAAACCAGTCATCTAGTAACTGGAGTTGATTAAAAATGATGGCAAAATATAGTTTGGGATTTGTACTGTTTCAACTTTTCATTAATCTACACCTTTTATTGTGTTTTACAGTAAATGTTAGGTGTTTAGCATTGTTTGTGTGTTTGATTAATAGTGTTTAACCAAAGTGGCTGTGCTGTCCCCTCAGGACAACCCCACAGTGGTGGTAGAAGACCTGAGGCTCTGCACCGTCAAACACTGTGAGGACGTGGAGCGGCGCTTCTGTTTCGAAGTGGTGTCGCCCACCAAGTAAGTTTAAGTCTACTGGAATATGTTACTGAAGGTGGGAGGCAGGAGTAGTAATGTACGAGCACGCACACACATACATACATACATACATACATACACACACATACATATATATTCAGCAGCTCTGTGATGTGGTTTGTCCCAACAGGAGCTGTATGATGCAGGCAGACTCGGAGAAGCTGCGTCAGGCCTGGATCAAAGCCGTCCAGAACAGCATCGCCACCGCCTTCCGTGACAAGGGAGACGAAGGCGAGGTAAAAACAGAAACACTGAGGGGACAGTCAAGGGGTTCTCATATACTTTAGATAAATAAATCATATGGCGACGCATTTAACACTGTTTATTTATGTAACACTGATTTCCCATACTTAAGTTTACATTCTGTTTACACTGTTTACATTACACCATGGGGACAAAGTTTCATTTAGGTAGATGTATCCTTTCTTAATGATTTTTTCCCATCCTTCTGTGCCTTCTCTCTTTCTGTCAGAAGCTGGACAGGAAGTCTTCCACGTCAACAGGAAGCCTGGACTCTGGTGGGGAGCCGAAGGAGAGACCACTGAAAGGAGAGAGCGCCCTGCAGAAGGTCCTAGTGATCCCGGGGAACACCTGCTGCTGCGACTGCGGCCAGCCGGACCCCCGCTGGGCCAGCATCAACCTGGGCATCACCCTCTGCATCCAGTGCTCCGGTATCCACAGGTAAAGTACTATGAAACATGTATATTAAAATAGACTTTGTTTACAGAAAGCAAACAGCTGTAGACATACCCATACATCGAAGTGTTATGGACACTAACCCTAAAATACATTTAATCGATAAAGCAGAAAACTTACAGAAGCTAATAAACAGAGGAACCTTGTATCAGCATATTTTATTTAATAATCTTCTAATTTGCAGGAATAAAGTTAATTTTGAGTTATTTTTGGTTCATTGACAACCGGAAAACACTGTTTGTTTGCTTTGTTACGAAATATCTTTCCCGCCAGGGCTGTGTTCAATGCTTTGTACAAACTGTTAGTCTGGAGGGATTTAGGAAATGTAAACCCAGTGTGTAGAACACCCAGCCTGCTCAGGATGTCTTTAAGACCTTTCATTACTTTAATTACCAGGGTGAAATATTTCATTTTCATTCAGGTCACATTTTAATTAAAATAAAAGTGTCCAGGGATTCAAGCCATTCTTTTCTTTACAACCTAGAAAAGTAGTTCATCTTCAATGTGATTTCTCAACTGAGTGGGTTCAGGAATGTGTAGGATTACATAATAGAAACATTTATATTTTACATATATTTACTTAAACAACACAATTTGTGGCTTCTCTGGTACTTTGCCTCAACAGAAGTAATAGATTTTTGAACGTACATAAATATTACAAACACAGGCGTAGAACTGTTGTAATGCATATTTTTCTTAGAACTACCTTCTCTACATATTATGCTTTTGTGGTTAATGCTGCTAAGCCTACACATTTGTAGACCACTCATATACAAATTCCAAATGAACAATGCCATGTGTTTTTCTTTTGTGTGCCTCTTTCACCTGCAGGAGTCTGGGAGTGCATTTCTCTAAGGTGCGATCTCTGACTTTGGACACATGGGAGCCAGAACTTCTAAAGGTTAGGGAGCACATGAACAAATAAACACAACCATCCTGTTTGAACTGAAAGTCTGACGTTGAATCAAGTGATGATAACAAATTACCTTTTTTTTTCTTGAACTTCACAGTTGATGTGTGAACTGGGAAACGGAGCGATCAATCAGATCTATGAGGCTCGACGAGAGGAGCTGGCAGCCAGGAAACCCCAGCCCGGAGATCCAAGGTACAGAGCTGCTAGAAAGCATGTTGGTATTTTCACACTTATTCTCGCCCTTCATCTATATCCTATTTAATTCATCTCCTGGTATTTTGTTTTTTTCTGTATCTGACTGAAAGGACGTTTTTATGGAGCAATTCATTAGAATAGATTCAGTATGGTCTTGGTATTAAAGGTGGGGTAGGTAAGTTTGAGAAACCGGCTCGAGATTGCTAGAATTTGAAAATACACAACCGGAGAAAATCTGCCACTTCCTTACAGAGCCCCTCCTCCAACACACACGAACGCGCACATGACCAATGAGGGCACGAGATAAGTTTGTGCACAGATGGAAGGCTGACAGGCAGGTAGGCCATCCAGTTATTTTAGCCAGGCCGGCTAAAATGATTGGTCGTACTTTTTACAGTACTACGGCTTCCACAGATGACATTTTTTAATGGATTTTTTGTCAAAGCACTTAAGATATTCATTGCTATCGGGATGTTAAGAGCATTCCATGGAATATAACAAAAAGTGTATCTCGAGCCGGTTTCTGAAACTTACCTACCCCACCTTTAAGACACTTTCACTCTTGATGGTTAACATTTCTTTTTGATTTACATCTTTTCAACAAAATAGATTGCTAAAGTAGCTAAACTAGTAAAAAGTATAATTCCCTTATTTACAAACAGAAACATCTGCGTTTTATTCCAAACAGGCACGAGGTCGAGGCCTACATCAAAGCCAAATACGTGGACCGCCGGTTTGTTCGCCTGCCGTCGGACGAGGAGCTTCGCAACAAAGTGGTTTCTCTGAGCAAACAGGAGAAGAGGCTGAGCAGCAGCTCTGAGCATCTGCCCCCGAGACCACCACCCCCCACCCCAAAACTGAGAGCTGGTCAAGCAGGTCAGTAGAAAAAAGAACAAACATAACACACATTTAACCCAGGAGTGTTGATGAGTAACAAACTGACAATATTAAATTGTACTGATCCTGACTGTGGATGGTTTCTGGCACTAAAAAGTGTGTTGAATTCAAGCTGGATAGATTTAATACCACAAGGTCAAGAAAGCTGTCGTGACTAAAAAAAGTATTTACATGTAGTTTTGGATAAGTCATGGTACATTTTGATAACTGGTCAGTTGATGATGGCTTTGCATATTTGGATAAGTGCTTTGTCCTCTTCCCCTAAATCCAATGACTGGTTACTTGGATGAGGAGGAGAGTTATATAACTCCCAATTTGAATATAGAAGAATACTCCGAAAATAAAGTCTGTTTTACAAATTAATCTTCTAAAGGTTTTAAAGGTTCACAAACCCCAATGTACCACACATTGTATTCAGGATTTAAGAGGTTGGATGTTTCTGTTGTACAGATCTTTAAAGTCCTTTCTAAAACAAAACACTGCATCAAGAGGGCGAAGCTTGTGTCATTTGTGATTGTGGCCACCTTTTTTATTGTACGCTCCATGTACATTTCGTACTGCCATGGAGAAGTGCCCCCCCCCCCCCACCAGCATACTGTATGTTCTGTGTGAGCAGCATATGCCTAAGCCCTCTTTGCCTCCCATTGCTTCTCGTAGTGTGTCTCTAGTGTCTAACTTTCTCTGCTTACTGCCTTCCTCTTTCTCCTCTTCCTCAATCTCTTTCTTCCACCTCTCCTGTTCTGTGCTCCTGGACTAACCCCTGCTCTCACTGCCTACCCTGTAACCCTGTAACCCCCCACCTTGCCACTCAATTTACACCCTCCACCTTCCAATTTCCAAACTCCCATGATTCCTAACGTAGCTGTTGCCCGCGGCTCGGAGGCCCGCCGCGACTCTCTCTTCTGTGCTGACGAGCTTCACTCGCTCTTCTCCTACTTTGACAACTCTGCCAAGCTCAGGAGCAGTAAGTACTAAATGCTCAGTGTTCCCCCTCCTCATCACCCCCCTCTGTCAATTTCTACTTCGGGGCTGTGGACTAACAACCCTCCATCCACTCCTCTGTTCCCCCTTCATCATCCAGACCCTCCTAATGGACCATGCTGTCATGCTAAGAGCATCGCAGAGCATCCCATGTTTTGTTTTTCCCGGGGCTGGGACGTGTTTCTCTCACATGGTTTTGGTCATTGTCTGTATTGTATTTGTCTCATCATATTTTTGGTATTTAGGGTCCTGAAGCATAAGGTGATGGTGGAGGTCTCCAGTTCTCTCTCTTGATTTCAGCCGGGGACTTGTTTGTGTACACTGTATAAAATATAAGGACCACCTGCTGTTTCTGCCAATCGTACTGGAGATACCAGTTGATGTTCAATAAATGATCTAGTAATAACAAACTAACTAAAAGTATTAAAGAACATTTAGGAGCTGCATGATGCTCTGAAAACAGCAAGAAGGTGTTCCTTTTATTTCATACACTCAGTGAATGGTGTTTTATTTGACAAGTCGTGATTTAAAAACTCTTTGTTTTACAGTAAAAAGTGCAGACAGCGGCATCCAGAACAGCGCTGATGGGAGCCGAGAGATGCTGGCCAACACCCCGTCCAATAACAGCCTGACAGACGCAGGTCAGACTCACACTCACACACCTCCTCTGTCATCACACAGATATCCACGCCTTTTAATATCTAATAAAGAGACACACATTCAAAGTGCTCTATTAAATGTAAAAGCTAGTGTACAAAAGACATATATTGCACACTACCATCTATATTTAAGGCAGGACTCTGATTTAAGCTATTACAGCCTTCTAGTGATTTGGCCAATCTTGAAGGGTTGCTACACGTTTTGATGCCACTGTGTTTAGATCTATTTCAAGACCTGAAGCTTCTTATCTTTTTGCCTAAAAAGAAAGAAATATCCAGAAGAATCCCCAATCACTACTAAAAATATGATGATTTTTTATATGTTTCACTATGTTGGAGAAAAGAAAGAAAAAAGTTAAAAGAAGTATTGGAGGACTTTCCTCCAGGAATTTAAAGCAACGTATAGTGCGGCGAAGTTTGGAACTTATGAGAAACAGTTTGAAGATCTATAGGGGGAACTGTTGTTGCTTTACAATGCACAGACAAACCGAACTTTCATCTACATATTAATTGTTGATATAAATGTCTCCCATCTTCCTCTTCTCAGACGCTGCAGAGCCTCCGGCCATGGCAATGCCTGCCACCCTGCCCCCCCCCTCCCCCTGTAAGGAGATGGTGTTCTACGAGCCGAAGGAGTACAGCTCCGGTCTGCAGCTCTACTGGGCCGCCTGCGCCCGCTCTCTGCCCGACATGTCGGAGGCTCTGGCCCACGGAGCCGAGGTCAACTGGGTCAACACGGAGGACGACAAGAGGACGCCGCTCATCATGGCCGTGCATGGGGTGAGCGTTGGGGAAACTCTATATACTATGTTATTATCACTCATTTAATGATTTAATTCATGTAGATTTTATAGAGATTTTATAGTTTGTATTTTTGCTAAAGAACATTGTGTGGTATATACTTGTCGTGGCTTCCTTCCTTGTTTTGTTTTTATCAAGCCACTAGACGCCTTCAACAGACATTTTTAACTCGTTTTCTTTCCTTTATCTTTGTGCTACTTACAGTTGAAGAGTTGCTTGGCCTCCGATGGTTTGGATGTTATTATGCGATGACTTTGCTCCAAATAAAATAACAAACTTTTACACATGTAATAAAGAAAAGATGCCTTTACAATATTCAAAACAAATAGGCAAAAATAAAATAACAAACAACTTAAGTATTCTTTCTTTCTTGATAAGGCTTATTATATATATAACTTGATAACTTAAAGGGTAATTGGACGGTTAAAAACTGTTCCCCGACGGTTTCTTTCTAGGAGGTTGCCCATCACTGTCACTTTAGAGGAGGCGCCATGGGAATTGTAGTCCTTTATGCTCTGGTTGACTACAGACGTCACCTTTATGATAAAAACAAAATACTGGCTCTAACAATACTGTAAAACTTGTATGCAAAATAAATATTGCCAGTGAAACAAAACATCTAATCTAAAATGTAAGCAGGTTTTTCTCACTGGAAAGTTTTTAATTTGTTACACTAATGGTTCCCTTCAGGGTTCGCTGGTCACCTGTGAGTTCCTGCTCCAGAATGCAGGTAATGTGAACCAGCAGGACGCTCAGGGCCGAGCGCCGCTGCACCACGCCACCCTGCTGGGACACACAGGGTGAGTCCTTCACATCATCATCATCATTATTACTTCAACAAACTTATACTCAGAGAATATTGGGGCATTTTGAAGAGTGGGATGCAACACGGATTATATGTGAGCTCAAGACAATGACAAACCTTTCTCTCGGTTTTAGGCAAGTGTGTTTATTCTTAAAAAGAGGAGCAAATCAAAATGCTGCGGACATTGATGAGAAAACTCCCCTGACGATAGCGGTGGAAGCGGCCAACGCAGACATCGTCACACTGTGAGTGTTATTCTGGTTATCGATATGATTGCTATTAATATTAATAGTATTTGTATTAATCTTATTCTTGAAGAGATGTCTGAGCTTTCACATTGTAAACACACCTACACCACCAGCACAGCAACATATACATGTAACCATTAGGGTTTTGGTGCCTTGCTTAAGAAAAGACTGACTTCTGATCGTGTTGTCAAATGTTAAGGTTCATACGATTGGTTTGGAAAGTTTGACTAATAATTTGGAGTAACGGCTCCTAAAAAATGAGTATTAAGTCACTGTAATAGTTGAAATAGTTCAACAAGTAGTAACAACTATCCACCACAAGGTGTCATTATAATGCAGTGGACATCCTTCTACCTCTATTAACACAGTTGCCTTTCTAGTCTTTATGATCAGAGTTGAGTATTTCTGTGAGAACAGTCATTAAAATAACCCTGCCATTGTGTGATTTTAGTTTTATTATTGATTGTATCTGAGAATAACCTCTTACTTCCTGTTTCTCAGGTTGCGACTGGCCAAGATGAACGAGGAGATGCGAGAGGCGGAGGGGCCCTACAGCCAGTCAGGTCATTATAACACCAACAGCCCCACCGACATGCAGTACAGGAAGTGCATGCAGGAGTTTATTAGCCTGCAGCTGGACGAGACTTAACAACTGTCCGCTGTCATTGAAACACAGGGGCAACACACTGCTAAACCAGGCTCATCAGGGGGAATGTGAAGCCAGGTTTCAGAGTCGGGGTCAGTTAACTTCAAAAGATAACCCAGAGAAGTCATGCTCGGAGGTTTGATTATAGGGCAACTAGTTTATGAAGTGAGCTCTAGTTGAAGGGAGACTGATTAGAGTTAGCTGAGCCCGACTCTGTCAGAGCTGCTCCTGTGTGCTGCTGTCCTGTGTGGGCAAATATCGGTTAGCATCAGGTGCTACACTGTGTCAATGTGACCGTGTTAAAGCCATTGACTCTGGACATTTCTGAAGAGTTTTGTTCCAAAGTGGAACATCAACGTTTTCAATGAAGTGACTGTTACTCATTTAAAGTTATTGATAGCACAACATTCAAGTCACTTTTGACTAGATAATCTGTCTCTACTCCCTTTCATTTTGAATAATATCACTTTTTAAGAGAAGTTCTGTGATTTATAGCAGCTTATGAGAAATTCGTTTTTTATTTTGGATAAAATACTTGTTTGAGTGTTTGTGTCTCCGCTATCAGTCACAGTATCTTTGCAAAAAACTATCCGCCCAGTAACTGCCACCAGTATCCAGTGACCTCAAAGTGGCGTCAGTGTCACTCTCTGGCAATAATCGTGACTTTTGAATGATATTTTTTTATTATCTGACCAGTCCGGTGAGGCGTAGTGTGTGTTTGATTTTAAATCGACTTGTCAGAAGTTATTTATGCACATTCCTTTAAGGGTTATGCAACTACTGTACATTGTCCTGCGATTGTTAGGTTTCCATTTGAAGTCTTAACCATTTTCAAGGCCTGTTTACTGATTAGAACTGTTTGTTGTCTAATTATAATGCATCTTGCTGTTGTGACATTGCTGTACAGACAAAAAGTATTTTAGAACTGTTTTTTTATTAAGATTATACTAGTTATAGTATGCTTACTGTATATGTTGTAAATGATGTGCATACATACATTTCATTATAGTCTGCAGTATAAGCAGAGTGGGGATTGACTGGTTGCACAGTGGTGACGCCATGAGGGGCTCTGTGTTCACACACTAACTTATTGTTTGAATTATTGTACTGTATTTACTTCCTGTAATGACTATAACGTGTCTTGGTTATTAGTTGGTTAAATGTGCTTGCTCATTGCCCGTAATCACGGGAAATCCAGAATTGTAAGACGATGACGGCCTTTAAGTGCCATCGCTTTGATTGTATCGAACATTAGTGGGGTTTACTCAAATATAGACAAACCATCTGAGGGTGGTACGTCAAGCAAGAGTGCAATAGTGTAGAAACATGTATATATTCATATCACCTGCTGGTCCTAGCCTATATGTATCTTAATCATAAGGAAGCTTTAAAAAAAAGAATAATCATGAGTGCAAAGCTCATTTGAGTTTTATAGATAGAATGAATGATCGACCCCAGTTTTATCCCACATCCCGCTCCATTCAGCCCCAAATCCTGGGGGGGGGGTCGCCAAAGCACTTTGATTAAAAGGTCATTTCTCTTCATTCACGTTGACAGAGCAGCGCCTGGTGTATGTGATGTATTGATTGGCCGACGACTAGTGTGGGGATTTGTCGTTGGTTAGAGTAGAGACAACTGGTTGTGTTGTGATTGTGTTCTCACAGGTTAATGACGTTTTTAAAAAGTGGTTGAGGGGATGATTTTAGATTGTATGATGAAGGTAGTCATGCATATGTTTGTTGACCACAGGAGGGACTGCTACACTCAGAAATGCCGTCCATTTGTCCTGAAACAGTGAAACATTTATACCGAGGGCTGGATGTGCCACTTTAAATTAGATTTAGTATTCGCCACACTGCTGCCCTTTTTTTCTTAAGTGGAATATCCTCTGGGATCCTTTAAAAAAGAAAAACAGTCAGAAATGTTTTGGACCTGAATGACACAGAATGAATTCATCTTTTTTCTTAATTCTTTAGTGTGTGCAAAAGCTTGTAACTATAACCTGCATTACAGAAAGGTCAACAGGAGTTATGAGAGCGTTGACCACAGAGGAACAGCAGCAGGTTGTCATTAGCAGAGCGGAGTCTGAAGAGCTTCCCCTCTCTGAATCACCCTCAAGTTGTTTTGCTTTGCGGGAGGATTTGTTGCCGACATCGGCTCGCCCTCTTTAAAACCCAAGGGCCTCGCTCTTCATCAGTACCTCCAATCAGCTGATGAGTGAGGGGATGATGAAGGGTGTTCAGGGGTAATGTGAGGGAGAACTAACCTCATCAATCCACCCTTTAATTAAGATGAAAGTTCCCTCGACTCAGATGTTCCCACCTGATTGAGTGTGTGGAAGAAGTGCAGAGCGGCATTTCAACATCTCAAGGGGGAGAGTGTATATATATTTTTAGATGTAATTATAAGTATTTAAAGAGTAATGTTTCTTTTATCAATATTTGTCTCTTGTAGAAAACTGAAAGGGAAGATTTTACACTTGAACAGATTGAGAACTGCTGCTCTCTCTCTTCTCGAACACACTCTTCTTCATTGCTCTGATCCACTTCTGTCTATCTCTCATTGTAAATTCACTCTCTTTGTTTCTGTATTTTTCTTTTCTCCCTCTCCTCCCCGGAGTTTTGTGCCTTTCTTCTGTTCCCTTTCTTTCTTTGGGGTGCTGAGGCCAACACAACTGTATTCTTGTACATATACTCCTGCACTTTAAACACAATACAGTTGTTAACAAAAATGAATCTGTGGGCTTGTCTTTTCTTTCTGAGTCGATCTGCAGTTATTGTAAAGTGTCAAATGAAAAGCTCTCCGGCTGTTTTCCTTCAGACATTAGTTTGCTTCTCCTGTTCTTTCCTATCTTTGTCTGCCTCTTTCTTGTTCTCTTTCTTGTTCTCTTTCTTGTTCTCTTTCATACTCCGAGCCACGCCAGCACTCTGACAGGTATGGCCCACTTTTTCTTTCTTGTTCTGATGATACTGTCACTGTGCATGAGCCCTCCACTCTGCAGAGGGTTGTTGTTATATCCTACGATCCTGCAGAGTGAAGATGCAGATTTCTCTGACAAAAGTTACAATTTCAGTATCAGAAGTCATACTTGCATTTGGTATTAAACGATACATCATCTCGTTCCGAACGGAAAAAAACGTCTGTAATGCTTTTGTGCCATGGCAAGAGATAATTCATGATTCATGTTTTTCCCTCTCAAATTGTACTATTTAAAAGTTTCTTACAGGCCTGAAAAGATAAAAGTGTGTTCAGTAAACATTGTGTGTGACGAATGTTTGAACCATTCTGTCTGACTTCTCTTTTATTACGTTTTCTTCTGTTGCTGATTCCTTGTGTTCTCTACCTCTTGCAGGAGATGCAACCTACCAAGACATTTTCCAGGATTTCACCCACATGGCTTCCAACGATCCGGACAAGCTAAACCGCTACCAGCAGTACGACCCACAAAAACCCTGACACGGCAGAAACTCCGTCCACTAGCACTCAGAGACCGTGTGCTAAACCCCGGAGAGACTTGAGGAGGTCAGGAAACACGACGTCCACCCCCCCCCCCCCGACAACCTCTATCAGCGTTAGAGCCGGTCAGTGCTGCCACAGCTGGACTCCTGTCACATGTAACGTGTCGTCAATCGTGAACAGCAAACCTCACTTTTTCTTTCTTTTTTTAAACTGTTCTGTCCAGTACTTTTTATTATTGGAAGGATTTGCAAAGTCGTAACAAATCAAAGTGATAATTGAACTGAATGTAGAGCTGCCATTACGGCTGTCACTTATTTTCATCTTTTATATCACTGACAAGAGATTTCCAAAGGCATTTTCTTAAAAAAACAGGTGTGCTGCATCCGAGTTGTAAAGAGGTGAGTGCATTGAAAATGCTCCATTTATATTTGTAAGTGCTTCCTCTTCTTAATAAGATTTGTTTTATGATAGTAAGCATCCTTTTTATATCAAAGTGTTGCTTCAGTGAACTCTCAGCAGCGTATCCATGGCAATATGCTTTTACTTATTTGCACAAATCCCTGTCTGAAATCGCCACTGATGTTTACCAGTTTTGATGGTAAGACTTTGACATGTTAAACAATGTACAGTGATTATTCAAGTAAACATGTTTTTAATGCCTGCAATTTTAAATATATATTAGTTTTTTTACTTTTAAATGCTAGATCTCTTTCCTCTGAATGATTTTCATTTCTCATCTCAAGAGAGGTAATCAGCCTTGAAGTGTCCTGATTCATGTCGGTTAAAAATAGCTCGTTGAGATTATGGTAATTTGTAGATTCAGTCTCTTCTGATTTTTGCTGATTTTCAAAAGTTAAGATGTAGTTGTAAAATCAAAGTGCTCTACAATAATCTGAATGTATAGATTCGATTGCAGCTATTGTATGCCAGTTGATTTGCCAGGACTGTGTCATGTGGTGGTAATTATGGAGAAATGTGATTTTCCCTGAAAGAAGAACCCAAGTTAATGCTCAGTTTAATATGGAAACTTAGGTAAAACGCAGTGGCTTCATACTACACAAAGCCACCGGTGAATCTCTTTACAGTGCAGGAGCTCACGCTGTTTTGATACAGGAGTCAAAATAACATCATACAACTATACAAAATACTGAAAAGATAGATAATAGCTGACTATAAATGCATTGAATAGCTGTTGCTGAAAGATTCTGAGCATAAATGACGTAAAAATGTGAGTTTAATTTCATAAACTAAGTTTTCCATTTAATGTTCATGTTCATCTGACCTGCTGTGCACTTATTAAGACCTCTTGTTATGCAGGACGAAGATTGAAATGAATGTATTGGATAATTAAACACTGTCTCTGTTTCCCTATAATGCCAGCTACTAACCTTTCAAGTAAACGTCAAAGGAAGTTCATTTGGAAACTATAGAGCTGTCAAGTGTTGCAGAAAACCTTTTGACAGTCTGTGAAACGTCCAGTAATATACGCACACACAAGATGGATGACCTGTAGTTGTAGAGTCGCTGTCATTTCATGTGATGAGTTGTTCCAAAGCACTTCACTTCACTTAACAAATGTTTGATTTAGTTCAGACATCAGACGACTGCACTGAAATTCTCCAATCCAGAAATGAATCCTGCAAATTCCCTGATGGACGTTATGTGTACTGTAGGATTTGTGTTCCCTCTAAAACTGTACAGTCCTCTCTTCTTTGACATTAATAGTGTTTAGTGAAATATGATTTTCTTTTAGCATGCAGCATGGGATACAATTCTTGTACATTTTGTACAGATGCTTTTGAATTCTCTAGAGAACTGAAGTATAAAGGTAGTGGTACTTGAATCATTAAATACGCTTTTGTAAATGCGGTTCTTTGTATTTACATTTAGCCACTTTTATATTGCCTGTGTGTGTACCAGTATACATCATGTACTGTATATTCTACCTGTAATATGTAAGAACTTCAATACAAATGGACTGAGAATTCATCACCAAATGTTGACGCTTTTTTTATTTCAACCACTTTTTTTTATTTCATTTGGGTTTATTTAGTTACAGGGATGTTTGGGGAGTGGATGGGACTTCTGTAGTAATGGAGACCACTCTGGTGCCAATTCCACAACATTTGATATTGTTACACTTGTTTCATTCATGTCGCTCATGGGATGAACAGACAGTTATTTTACTATTCTCTTGAGCTATTCTATTATTTAACTCATGTATTTGTTCTCAAATATTCATTAAATTCTGACTTTGTATCTCAATAGCAAGACAGATGATTTATTCACCAGCCAGCAGTTGTACATTTATTATATTTTTTGTACCACATACTTAGTCCACCCTTGATGTCATTTTTGATCTAACCGCCTTCTGGAAAAGCTTCACAAGTATGTCGGTACGCAAATGCGCTTTGTGACACAAGTGACGGTACGCATTTCAGATTGTTGCCGCGCATGCGTACCTGCGTACCAGTTATGTGCACCCCTGTCTATATGCACCATTACTGTATAATTATCCTTAAATTATGTTATACAATGCACCTAATACATAAGTATGGCATTTTGAAACATGATGTGCAACCATTTTACTGTAATTTGTGTGCATTTTGTTGTTAACTAAGATGATGTTATGATTTATTTTTTGTTAGTATGCACGTGGACGCTTTCGACATATCTGGAGAAGGAAGAAATGGGTCTTCGGAATGATGGGAGTTAAAGACAAAAGGCGGAGACTAGTGTTGAAACTAGTGGAGAAACGATCAAGATGCCACCTTGCCCCTCTGATTAGACGGCATGTTAAGTCAGGAAGTAGCATTATTATTGATGAATGGAGGGCATACAGGAGAGTGCTGAGTAATGTGGGGTACAACCACTACACAAAGAATAGATTTCAAAATATTGTTGCTGGTTTATAAAGCTTTGAATGGTTTAGGCCCAAAATACATGTCTGACCTACTGCTAAATTATGAACCATCCAGAACTCTCAGGTCTTCAGGGACTGGTCAGCTTTCTGTCCCCAGAGTCAGAACTAAACATGGTAAAGCAGCATTCAGTTATTATGCTCCAAATATCTGGAACAAACTCCCAGAAACCTGCAGGTCCGCTGCAACTCTTACTACTTTTAAATCCAGGCTGAAGACTTTTCTTTTTGCCGCTGCTTTTAATTGAACTATTCACATCTTAAACTGCACTGTAACTTTTATCCATGTATTTTTTCTTTTAATGTTTATTTTATTATCTTTTCTTTTTAATGACTGATTTTAAATGCCATTTTCATAATGTCTTCCATTTTTGTAAAGCACTTTGAATTGCCTTGTGTTGAAAGGTGCTATAGTTATCATCCTGAAACATATAGGGTTGAATTAAGAAACGTTGCTTTATCAAACATTTCCATGTTTAAAGTTATTATTTATAATTAATGTTTATAATCATCTTAATCACTGGAGACTTTATGTCTAAACTCAAATGTGAATAATATTATTTTCATATAAAGAGGCTCAATTCATGAGTACACACTGACGGTGGGGTCATGAATTTAGTGTGTGTGTGTGTGTCATAGAACATCTTTCTGAAATAGTTACTTCACATTTCATGAAAATGAAGGATTACGTAAAGCATAGTGACATAAAATTAGCATTTTTGAAAAATATAGACAAGCTGTGGGTTTAGCCTACTGTCATGGCTGCAGGGTCCTGAGCATTACTTTATTCCCACTATCGCCATTTTGAAATATATGTATTTACCTCTATTAAAGAAAAAACAAGTTTTAATGCACACACATCTCAATGACATACATTTCATTCTTGAAGTTATATTGGAAAGTTGAAGTATAGCCTCACATATGTTGGAATTTTAAATCTGATATTGATATTGGTCAGGAAGATCAACACGTGTAGAAACATGCAAAGTCTATGTGTAAGAAATCCAAATAAAGAAAAACATCATTTTAGTATGTCAGAAAATAGTTAAACAGGATATAGCACCCTATACAGAGTCTCAAAGAGATCCTTAAACCATCGATAAATACCAGATTATATTTGTTAAGGAGTGAAAGGTCACCTGATGCCCATCTGGAGCCACTGTGCCTGGCTCCTGAGCTTTTCTCTGTGAATCGGCCCGGGCCTTTTCCAGGAAGTCTGTGGTCTGCTGGCCTGTGGAGAAGCGAAGGGCCGCCGCTGGAGACGTTTCCCTCCATAAAAACACCATGTGAACAAACCCTGAGAGGGCCAAGCTCCATTAATGATGCTCGGCTGCCAGGGAGCAAACTGCAGAACAGACTCACGTTAACAAGTCCAGTGGTGACTGAAGTCTCCTTTACTTTAAACTAATAAAAAGAGAAATGGCATTCGGCTGAGATAAATTAACTTACTTATGCAAATAATACCAAGTCTAAATATTGCTACCTACAATTAGCACACAACCTTTGATTTGATCCACCTTAATATACAAAATAGTATAAGAAAACTTTACTGCAAGTAAAATAGGTCAAGTTCCACACTAGCAGAAACACCTCTCTGTTTAGGTATTAATGCTACACAGCACCGTGCTAATATTTACCCCGCCCGTGTTAACACTGAACAGAAAGGTTCACATTTCACATTTTGGAGCAGCCTCGCTCTGTGAATCCAAACAGTTCTGCTTGTATTCAAAGCAGATGATGAATGGACCAAGTGCATGAATAGGTGCAGTGTTATGAGCAACCTTTCACACCACATTATCCCTCACCACACTCACACTGACAAGCAGGGGAAAGGTGGAGGCAGCTGAGGTGTTGGACAGCGTGCAGTAATGCATCGCACCATGCTCCTCCTTCACCAGGCTGCAGGTCTCCACCACTTGTTTAGTTTCTGTCCAGCCTGCCTTCCCAGAATTGTTTTATTCTTCCATTTTGTGGAGACTCTCTGTCTCTGAGTGATGCCTCTCCAGAGAGCCGTGCTCCACGCTGAGCCGTCAGTCTTTCCTTTAGGTCTCCCCAGCGCAGGAGGTCTGGGGTCCAGCTGCTCAGAGGATGGAAACCTCCTCTCTCTCTGAGCCAGCAGCCAGGGCTCCTCCTGTCCAGAGAGTGTTTGGACAGGGGAACCCAAAGGTCGGGGAAGTGACCTTTGTTACCACGCAAGTACTGGACAGACCAGCTGGGAACATGATGTAAAATGACCAACACTATTCTCCCTCAAAGTCTGATGTGATGACACACTTAAAGAAGTCTGCTGATATTGTAGAATTGCCCTACTGTAAACAAATGAAAGATAAAAACTAACAATGTATTGATACAACGTGCTTTATTGGAGGCACTATAAATCTATAAATATTTTAAATGTGATTTATTTTGATGAACTCTCATGTGAGCGCTTTGAAGTAAGTTTGAGTAAATAATGTTTTAACCAGTTACTTTGAATACCTCCCAGCTAACTTTCTATTCCTATTTTGTATTTTTATTAATATTTTTATGTAAATTCAACAAAAACCTTTCATAGACCTTTCATAGAAATATTCATAGAAATAGATGGACTCAAATCCTATTCAAAGAGGTCCAGTGTAGTGAAATAGTGTGCATGGATTTGGAGTCACTTGGTCACATGACATGGAAGCTCTTGACATTTTCTTAAGAGTTATGTGAAATCATTGTTACATCCAGTCAAAGATAGTGAGCCACATGTGACAAATGTGTTATATTTGTTCACTAATATGATCAGGTTAGCACAGAGGTAGTGAATTAACATTAGTTTTGTGTCATTCAAACAGTAATTTATTTCCACTGCTGGCACTTGAGTGAATGTCTGTCAAACATCTAACCTAAAACTAACTTCACTGCGGTCATCTTTTACTAGTTTGTTTCACTCATCAGCTGTGGAGCTCAGAGGCTGCTTGAAGGTACTGAATCTATGCAGAGTTGTTCAGGGAGACGCTGCAGCGCTACGACCTCCACCAGTCCTACCAGCTGCTGCTACAGCCAGCATTATATAACCCTTCAGACTATTTGGACACCAGTCTCACGATCTGGGTGCAGATGGGCCGAGTGAACGTAAACACAGTAAACTGTAGTCACCAGGGCAGGGTCTGAGTAAACAGGCAGTGCATGTGGTAAAAAGACAGTGACCTCCTGAGGCTGTTGTTGTTTTAATGAACTCTACAAGGCTAAAGCTACCTGCTGCAAATAGACATGATCAATACTTCTACACCTTTTGCCCAGCTGTATTAAGTATACAGTTTTATCTAAAACTGGCACAAATTCCATAAAAAAATTGTATAATGTGTTACTGCTGCAACTAACAACTATTGTATAATATGTTTTTATCTGTCAATCTTTTTCTATTATTATTTGTAACACTTAATGCCAAAATAAATCAAATTCAGACACACAATGCACAGTTTTGTGAGTAAAGGCTGAAAAAAGCTTTTTTTCTCATAAAAAGTGTGGTTTAAAGTAGTCCATGAATGGACTATTTTAGTTCAGTGTTTGGCGCAGGAACAGAAACGGGTGATTTCCAGCTTTTTAGACACAGATGCAGCAGTGTGAAAGTTCACAAAAAGTAAACCTCTAACATAGGAATTCCTAAAAAGGAGTAAGTCAAGAAAATTGACATTTTTATATCAACGCTCTGCTTTCCAGTCTGCCCATTCCTTATAGGAGGTCTTTATCTTTAAACTTTCAGAGATAAAACGAGCTGGAGGCCAAAATCCACACCCCCCCCCTCTCACCCCAGTTTGTTCAGCGTGACCCTCCATCCAGATGGGACAGAACAGTCTGCCCTGTCATGGACCAGCAGCGCATCACTCGCTGGGCCTCCAGTGCAGCCAAAACCCCCGAGGCCTCGACCCCATCCGCAGGCCACACTCTCCCCCAGCTGACCAATGAGCTCTCTGATGGGGGCGCTTGTTTGCTTTAACAGCGCTGCTGAACCCTTCATTCTGTCATTGACACCGTCACCCGCGCTGCATCCACAGACGGTGACTCCATGCTTTGTCTGCTCACACCAACCATCACCCTTCTCCTCTTCCTTTC